TTACACACACATTCCCAAAATCGGCACGCTTTGACCCTACCAACGCTTACAACCCTCCTGTTGAAGCTACTACATGCAAAGCAAGGCTGAAAACCAGACAAGTCAGACGAATTGCATCGCTCATCAGACAGATTAAAGCTGGATGCAAACACGCACATGACATGCAACACAACACCCAGATACAGCAAGAATGGAATGTGATACGTACGGCGCAAGGATATGGGCATTCCTGGCCCACATGGCTTTTAAGCTTTGAGTTCGTACCTTTTGTCCCAACCACAGTTCCTGACTTGGAATGGCTTGAATTAGCCCTACAAGTCTCTCGTTTCGATGCCGATGCATATGCTCGTCAAGAGCAGATACTTCGACGCAACCATCGAAAACACTCCATTGAATTCGCTAGAGCACACACAAACAACGCAGCCGCGTATCGATTTATTAAGAATAAAGAGCAGAAGTTTCTGCAGGATGTCCCAGAGATCCGTACTAGTGCATATACGCTCTGTCGATCTCGCAAAGACTTGCCAGTCATTAGACTTCACCAACCACTTATATTACCCACCGGTGCCACTGTTTCCATTGGTGACACTACAGCTACCATTGCTTCACAAATAGACGATAAACTTAGACTCACAAATGTGCAAGGCACGTTGCCTGCATGTGCGACAGTCAGCTATAAAACACATGCATATCATATAGATAAGATGTTCCAAATCTTTCAGCAGTTTTGGACCCCTTTCTGGCAACGTGACTCCCTGGCTGAGCAGGATTCCAATGACGTATGGGAAGATCTTTTCCATGATTTGAGCACGACTATCCCTCATCAAGCACCCTTGCACATCATTACTAGTGATCCGTCAGTCCTATGGACCACCATTAAACGTATGAAAACCCACAAAGCCATAGGCGTTGACGGCTGGAATATGATAGTTGACCTCTCCAACCTACTCAAAAGTATGTGGTCACATGGTCTTACAGGTCAACAGATGCAGGCGCGGACGCTACTCTTCGCCAAATGTGAAAAACTCAAAATATGTCGCATGGACGCCCTATTACTATCCTCGGCTACCTAGTTAGATTGACATCCAAACTAGTTGCTGACCAAATCTTACATCAATGGGCCAGTGCATGGCCACCTGAGCTTAGTGGCGGTTTGCCACAACGATCCGCTCGCGATCTAAGCCTACAACAGTTAATCACGATAGAAAATGCGAAAACGACGCGAACAGCTTGGGGAGGATGGACAATGGACCTTGTCAAGGCGTTCAATCTCATTCCTCGAAGAGTGGTTTGGTTTCTGTTCCAGTTACTCGGGATCCCTGAGGAGGCCACATGTTGCTGGTTCAGGTCCCTTGCACGCTTGACAAGATCCTTACAAAGTGGAAAAGACCTGGGGCCTCCTATGACATCCACCACTGGTCTCCCCGAAGGGGACTCCCTCTCAGTTGTTGGTATGTTATCGCTGAGCTTCGTTTTCCATCAAAAGCTGCATTCCCCGCAGCTTCGACCGTATGCATATGCAGATAATTGGTCTTTTATGACAGCGTCAGAACGAGCAGCTTTCCATGCCATGAAAACCATACTTAATCTTGTAAAGGAACTTCGTATGGTCATTGATTTCAGTAAATCCTGGGCATGGGCAACATCAAATTAGTTCAGAGAATTTTGGGTACAGACGTCCGCCCTGCTCATGCAGCCGACATTTAAATTCAACATTAAAAATAATGTTCACGACCTGGGGTGCATGATTCATTACTCGAACACGGTTGTCTTAGGCCCGATTCGTGATAAGATGGATAACGCCGGGCGCAAAATCAATCTTGATCTAGATGAACGTGCGGAAAAAATCCAAGTTGCCATTTGGCCGGCAGTCTTCTATGGCACATTCGGGCAAGTCATTGGAGATAAGCATTTTAAAGCACTGCGGAGGGCGGCCGCTACCGTCCTTGTCGGCTAGTAGCCCTGTTGCACTGCATTATTTGTCCCATCGCATTCAAGACCCACTGCTCTATGTCATCACAGACCTCTTAACTACATTGCGAAGATTTTTTGTCTACCACCCACACCAAGCCAACATGTTTATTCAAGAGGTGTGCCAATTCCAGGGCCAAGTCAAAGGACCTGCTACCGCTTTGGCAGCATATATCAAGAAACTTGGCTGGGAACTGACACCTAATGCCACAGTACTAGGCCCAGGAGGCCTCCGTCTTAATTTGAAGTCTCACTCCAACAAGCAGATTAAACAACAATTAAATATCGCATGGGACTGGTATTGTCATGCACTTATCCAGCATCGTAAAGGTGTCAATCTTATGCCTTTTGACTCATTGACCACGCATCGTCTTACCTCGCATTTGTCTGAGCGTCAACGTCGCATCCTAGCTCTCACAATGACTGCCGGCTGGCAAGCCAACGCGGGGATCTCGCAATGGTCTGCCACGCAGGTCCCCGAGTGTCGCTGGTGCAATATGCTTGACACACACGCACATCAATATTTAGAATGCCCACATTTTCAACAAGTCCGCGATGAACACCCAGATGCAGTCCTCCTTCTACAAACAAACCCTAACCTGTGTTTTTTCCCGTTGCCTGTCCATGCTGATAATGTGGCTTTGGTCCGACAAGCCATGCACTTGCGAGCGCACACATCATTCCAAGACGTCCTTACTTGCATTAATGATGACCTTGTGTTATATACAGATGGTTCCTGTGATAATCCTAAAGACCCATATGCATCCAGAGCAGCATGGGCCGTTGTTGTCCGCCAAATTGATCATGAACACTACCAGACGACTACCTATCAGGTACTCGCAGCTGGGCATTGTACAGGACTACAGACAATTAATAGAGCTGAGCTACAGGCCTTTGTAGTTGCAGTCGAATCCGTGGTAACTCTCCCAGCCGCCACGCGTGTTGGCTTTTGCACTGATTCACAATACGTAGTCAATCTAGTTTCAGCCATTGAGCAATGCCACATTGATAGACACCCACACAAGCAGGCACACTGGGACTTGATACAGAGACTGGTAACCTGGTGGGACGTACACAGGTTTTATGTCATCAAGATCAAATCCCACCGCCAACCTTCCGATGCGACCTCTACCCAAGATTGTCATAATATCTGGGGCAATAACTTTGCTGATCATGCAGCTGTTAGTGCTCGTAATACAGATTTGGCTGATTTTGACCATTTATGCCAACAGGTCCAAACTCATTATACACATCAACAACAACAACTCCCGCAACTATGGCGCTACATGCTTGACATTGCCTATTTGCGTATGCTTAAAGATGAAAGTAAAAAAGATACAAAAGATATGCCCATTGGTCTTACACGACAAAACTCAGATCTCAATGCACCTCACGATGAGGCCCTACCGAGTACCGCTCTACAGTTGAGGCTCCAAAAGAATGCACAATGGGTTATATCCACAGATACACACCCCATACCCCCAGAGCCACACCCAACGGTCTTCTGGGCATGCACTTGGGGTATCAATATTGCTAGGTTGGTATGGCAATTCCTCACCCTTCTCAAGTGGCCACCTGCAACAACAAACCCCTCACGCTCGGATGTTGGTATCTCATGGGTTGAAATGGCCATCTCATTTATGCTGTGGTCAGGACAAACTCTACCGATAAAAATTCGAGTTGATAAAGGCTGGCGGGCATACCACATTGATGATCCAAAAGTACAGATGCAGCCCCCTGCCCAACGCTCATTGAGGAACATTGCAGAAACATTCAGATGGGTGGTCAAGCACACTCAGACATTTTCCAAATCAAAATTTCTTCCTGCCTATAAGAAACAAGGATCACGAAGCCTCGTGGTCCTGGGTTTTTCCACAGACCATGAAGGCGGTATAGCTTGCAGACCCGAGTTACCTAATGGGGAGCTTACATACAACAATGCCAGGCAATCCGCCCTTTCATACAAATGTCCCACTCCTTCCTCTTCAACCGTATACGCAGTCTAAAAAATGGCCAGAATGGCGTGAGGCAGACCCCGATAAGCAGCAGAAATTCCAGATTCGTATGCGTAATGCTCTACGGACACACAAAAACTTAGATTCTTTTGCTCACCCTGATGTGAATTAGATAAGTTCAGACCTCTTCAATTATGTGCACGCCTAAATTCATTCCGCATGTGCCCAGCCGGGTACTCACACTGTCGCACACCTGTCTCTTATGACCTCGTTCTTCATTCCTTTTCATGCAAGCAACACTTTTCGTCGTAGTGTACATATGGTTGTAGTGCAGATAGGTCATCCCCCTGTTTCACATCACCACCTTCACCCACTCCACCTGTGAGTAAGGGGAGATGTGGGAGCGTGTCCGCAAGTCCGTGCATCCAAATGGGGGGTGTTAATTTCGTGTCGATTCTAGATTAGTGGACTATAGTGGCTGACTACGATCCACTCTGTCTGCTGGGTCCCAGCGATTTCCTGAAGTCCTGGGACAGGTGGAGCAACCATGGACCACCCTGGGATTCCCGGCCTTCCACTAATTTGAACACAACAACCATATTGTTTTCATTTGTTTTGCTAAGGAGTTCTACACTAGAAAGCCAGGTCAACTTGGATTAAATGCTTGAACGGAAGGCGAACGGGTAGAGGCCCCAGATGGTTGGACCACAAGGGGGCCACACAGCCTCCCCCCCTTGCATCACTTTGCGTCACTCTTGAGACCGTGAAGGACTTCGGAGGGGCGAGGGGTGTGCAGATCTCACGTTCTGGACACCCCCTCCAGGCGCCCCTCCAGGCCGCCCCTTCCATCGCCACCGGTCTCGTCAGTCCGCCGGTCATCACCCGGTGGAGGCGATGGCCTCCGCCCTAGTAGCTTCTTGTTACTAGTAGCGCTGGCCTCCAACCTACTTGCGATGGCCTCCACCGAGCATAGCGTCCTTGTTACGTTCGTAGCTTCTTGCTCCGTTCGTAATGCCAGGAGCCCGTTCCGCTCGTGCCCTGCTTGTGCTCTCGCACGCGACTCGCGGCTCCGAGGCTACAAGCCGCAAATCGAGTTCCTGGACGCCGAGGTGGCCCGGATGGTGGCCATGGCGCCCACCTGCCGGCGCTTGGCCAGCACCGCAGTGCAGGCGTTGCTCGCGCGGCGGGCGCGGGGGCGCGAGCGCGAGGCCAAGGTGTCGGTATATGTTTTTTGAATTGATTTGGGAGCGACCAGGGGGGGTAAAGGTGCGGAGAGCCATCGTTCCAATTGGATTTCTTACCGCCCCTCTAGGGCAAACAATGATAAACATTTGTCTAGATTTGTTGCATCCAGATGCCGACACCACGTCCTGACGAACCAAAGCCTTTCGTCTCTGTGTCTGTCGCCTGTCGCCTGTCGCCCTCGTTCGAACAGCGGAGCCCGGACCCAAACCCCCCAGCCATTTGGCACGACGGGCAAACGTGTGAGACGAACCCTCGTGGAACGGGACGAGACGAGACGATGACATGACCGCCATCCATCAACCGAGATGAATCCCAGGGATCCAAAGTACTTTGTCAAGTTAATCATGTAGGTTTGGAGGGTCCAGTCGTACCTTCTGAGAAGAGACTTAGATCCCTAATGTACCAGGACCATCCTGTTGGGGGAGACCCAGGCCCACTGCCCAGCCCTTTCTTGTGGGCTTCCACCAGACCGGACACCACAGGATGGTCCTGGTAGCTGGATGAAGGCACTGGATTGAACGACCGCCCCGGGGTCGGCCCCCCCGCGGGGCGAAAGCCGATTCCGACCTGTGTTGCGTGCTTTGGATGCGATGCGATGTTCTAAAGCATCCAACTCCATACCGCATCCCATCCAACTCCGTTCACACCATCTCGCATCCATCCATACCGCTCGCACCGCCTTATCACACTGCCTCGGACCGGTCCCTGCCTTTTTCCAGGAGCCGGAGCCGGGCACGGAGCGGCCGGCGGAGATGCCGCGCATGACGGCGCCGCCGAGTTGAGAGCGGTGGGCGCGGCGACTCGCGGCGGCGACTCGCGGAGAGGGCGTGGTGGCGAGGAACTCGAGTGGGGCACCATAGACCAAGAGTCTTGAAAGGTCGGTTCACCCCTGCGAAGACGCAGCCAGATGGACCGCTTCTGCTGCCAGCTGGGAGAGATTCCGAGAGTGACCTCCACCACAGATGAAGTCGATGGACTCTATTTTGCTCCAGTGAGGCCAAGGAAGTTCCCTTTGTACCCTAAAGACTGGGCATATGCATGAGGGGCTTGAGCTCTTTTTTATAGAAATTGTACGCAGAAAGCACGAACTCGAGGGTCTTCCTGACCAGGGTAGGATGTCATGAAACAAGTTGCAGAGACAAGATAGAAAAAGAGTTTTGGCAGCTCAGAAGTCGACTTGGGGAGCGCATCCTGACATGCCTAGTAGTGATCGGGAAATGGGAACATCAAGGAACATCTACACAAGCCTCCACCGTCAGTAGCAGCCGTCGACATGAGTAGATCGTGTCGAGTATGATAGCTTCCCCCCTGGTCGTGTCGTCCAACTCTCGGTCACCGACAGAAATGCCGAGTCCTTGGTTCGCCGTCACGCCCTCTCCGCCATCGATCCGCGCCGCGGATCGGCGAGCAGCGCCCGGCGCACGAGACCTCCGGTGTTTCACCTCGCAGGACCTCCGTCTTTTCTGCACCATGTCCTTCGAGTGAATGACACGGGGCCGAAGAGCGACTAAGGGTAGCCAGGTGTCTTTTCCGAAGCCAGCCGCCCAGGTACGATCTCCAAATTCCACGATAGAAGAGATCATCCAAAGGAAAACTCGCGAAGCACCGAGTTAGAGAAGAGGCGAACTCGCTGGTCCGAGTTCGGGTCCATGTCCCTGCCATGTCGACGTTTCGGAGACTCCACCGACTCCGACTCAGCTGGAACGGCCGGCGAACGCGGGAGATTGGTCTCTTTTCAACGGCGTTTGTAGCTGGGATTTCTGGGTCGTTTTCATTTCAGGTTGTGCTGTTGTTTTTTCCGTGTTATTTTCTTCGGGTGCTGCTGTTTTTCTAATTTCAGGCTCTTTTCTTTTGGGTGTGTTTTTGTTTCTGCGTTGTGTTTTGCTTGTGGTGCTGTTTTTTTTGTTTTTTTATTCGCGCTGTTTTTTGCGCTGTCTTTTATTTTTTAGATCGGCGTTTTTTGTTTTCTATTCTTGCAGCCTTTTTTCTCTGCTGTCATTTTTCTGCCTGTTTTTTCCTTGTTGTGTTTTTTTGTAGTTTGCGCCGTTTTTTAAGTTCTGGTTTTTGTTTATGTCGCTGTTTTTTAATGCATGTTTTTTTCTTGTGCTGTTTTGTTTTGTTTGCGTCGGCTTTTCTTTCGGCCGGTTTCTTTCATGTCTTGTTTTTTCTTGTGGTGCTGTTTGTTTGTTTGTTTGTTTTTATTCGCCCTGTTTTTTCTCATCTGTCTTTTAATGTTTTTTTTAATTCTACCTTGTTTTTATCCTTGTTGTGCTGTTTTTTTTATTTATGCTGTTTTTTTTTGTTTTAAATCTGCTGGTTTTTGTTTGCTGCCTTGTGTTGTTCTGGTTGTGCTAATTTTGTGTTTTTTGGTACTAGCTCGGTTTTTGGTTTAGTCGGTTTCTATTCCTTTGCTGTTCTATGAACTGACCGTTTTGTTTTCCTTTGTTGCTTTTTCTTGGTGTTTGTTTCTTCCCTGGGCGTTGATGTTTGTTATGCATTTTGTTTGTTTTGCTGTATCTTTTCTTTGTCTATGTTGCATACCTTTTGTGATACACGAGAGAACAATTAGAGGAGGAAGGTGTCATTCCAAGGTAGCATACCTTTTGTGTGCCACGCTGAGGGTTAAATTTAGAGGAGGATGCCATTCCAAGATAGCATACCTTTTGTGAGCCACGCGGGGGTAAGATTTAGAGTGGAAGGTGCCATTCCAAAGTAGCATACCTTTTGTGAGCCACGCGAGAGTTAAATTGAGAGGAGGAAGGTGCCATTCCAAAGCATACCTTGTGTGAGCCATGGGAAGGTAAAATTTAGAAGATTCGCTGTGTTCTTTTCGGCATCTTCTTCCTCAATCTTGAACCCCCCCGTGGTTCACAAACGCTATGCTACCTTGGAATGGCGTCTTCTTCTAAATTTGACCCTCGCGTGGCTCACAAAAGGTATGCTACCTGAGAATGGCATCTTCCTCC